AGAATGATCCGGAAAATGAGCTCTTAATCGTATAATTTGAGCAAGGAGTTTATCAAATGCTAAATTTCTAGTCGATAAAAGACTAACATGTGACCAACGTGTTGAAGCATCAATCAACACCATAAAATATTGAAATGGTCCACATGGCGGGGTTATCGGCCCACAAATATCTCCTTGAATCCTTTCTAAAAATGCAGGTGATTCAGTTGCAATTTAGTTCATAGAAGGCCTGATGATCATTTTGCCAAGAGAACAGGCCTTACAAAGAAAATCACTTGATAATGGAACCCTGATATTCTTTAATGGGTGTCCAAGTGAAGTCTTAATGATTTTATGCATCATTACATGGCCTTGGTGACCTAAACGGTCATGCCACAACATGAATGTTTTATGATCATCTAACTTTGTGTTAGAAACCAATTTTATTTCGAATGGACTAATATAATATATGTGAAATATAGTCCTGAGGAATAAGCTGACATTTTTTCGCAAATATATTTAGTGCCAGATTTAGTTGTCGTAAGACAAAGATATTCTATGTGATAACCATTTTGACGCATATCTTTAAAACTTAATAAATTTCTCTGCGATTTGCTGGAGTATATGCTTTATCATTTGAGTGATCCATATCTGTAGGAGAGGATGATTGTTGAAGATTTTGAGCAGATTCGTGCTGATAACGTGTTGTGAAATGAAGAAGATGAAGACTAAATTAAGAAATAGATATATTATTGATAAAAACCTCTGAATTACTTCTTCTAAATATCTGAAAGTTTCTGAGTTTCTCAATTACATTTACAAAGGATTGAGCACCCTATTTATACAAGTTGGCTGGGAGATGAATCATCAAAGAATGATTCTACATAATTTGCTGGCAACATTAAACCTAGCCATTTGTCTATTACAAGGACTAGAATGGGATTAGTGTCCTGATGACAAGGATGAACAATTCACACTTATCATTCTCAGGAATTTACAACAATTTGGGATTATGTATAGGGTTTACGTGCTATATTTCATTAGAAACTATATGAATTTATTTATAGTCGTTCACGTCGGACCATTATTGCCGAAAGGTCCCTAAAGTTGGGATTATTCTGAAATAATCGGTAGTTGGGATTATTATGAGCGGACCACCAATAGTTGAGATTATTACAATCAATTTTTCCTTTAAAATATCATATAAGACAAACTTTCTAATTAAATTGAAATAAATAACAATTTCATGTTAAACAATATACAATGGGCACTACCTAATCGCGCAACGCGCTACAAAACTAGTGTTAAGATTTGAGATACCATCCTAAAAGGTTAACCCTGATAGGAGGAGTAATCCAGATCTTAATATAACACTTAATTGCTTCACACGTTTCTGGTGTGGGAATTCAACACCCCTCCTCACGACTAGACACTTCATTTGGATCGTGTCGTCATTCTTTTTTCATCGATTCGTCATTGTCATTTTTTACAATCACATCATCATATTTCATAAGGGGGTCCACACCATGGATCGGTTTGTCTTTGATACCATGTTAAGATCCAGGAGTCCATCCTAAAAGGTTAACCTTAATTGGAGGAGTAATTCAGATCTTTATATAGCACTTAATTGCTTCACACATTTCTGGTGTGGGAATTCAACAACTAGATGCAGTATTTCCAGTCCGCCCCCCTCTCGAACCGCCGCCGTGGTTGGGTTTTGGAAGATGTTGTTTCAAGTTTGGATTTATTTTAATTATCTTGCTCTTACTTTTATTTTTCGGTTCGAACTGAATGTTGTTTTAGTTGTTTTCTTTATTTCTACTAGCAGAACTCTTAAATTTAGGTTGTGTGATGTAAGGTCTATTTCGTTTTTCATTGCCCATTGGCTCAGCTAAGCACATCATTAGATCAACGAGTCATATTGCTTTTTTGGATGTGATAGACTTTGAGTCTGGTTCGAGGGCAGACAGTCGGAAAGGGGCTTTTTGTCTTTTTGTATCTTGCCTGAATTTTGATTATTCAATATAAGCCACTTTCTTCCAAAAAATCAGCAGAATCAACCAATTCAGATACTTCAGCTAGAATTTCATAAATTTCAGCATAACCAACTAATGTAACCGATTTTGGTATTGCCAAACAACGTGTAGTGTATGTGAATCTTGAATTATGAGGAAGAAAGAGCATCATTGCATGGATTGGTCATTCGTTCATCTGTAACTTAGTGGATCATCAGTCATTATTCACTTCCACTATTAATTACTACCTTCGTCCCCCTTTTATTGTCCCATTGCGGTTTATGATGTTTGATTGACAATAAAGCAAATAGATCTCTGTCTGCACTCAAAAAAATGTTTAGAAAAAAAAATCGTATTCAGAAACTACATTAAAAGTTTTACAAAGTCGCAAAAACCGGAATCAAATTTGATAAAAATTTGATACATGAATTAAGAGATGAAGAGTGATTTGTGTTAACCAGGTGAATATGAACTGAGACAATGATAGGGAGACGGAGGGAGTAATAAGTAGGATGTATAACATTTTAAAAGGTAAAATAGAATTAAATAATACAAATTTTCTTACATAAACTAAGAATAATACATACTTTGGAAATAAATTTTAATAATACAAACTATTTGAACATAAATCAAAAGTGATACGTACTCTATATCAATATTTCTCTAAAAAAATTAGTCATATAACTCATTCAAAACTAATATTAATTAAAATATCAAATAAGTGATCATATTTCCAACTAAATATCATTTATTTGATACTTTGATAATAGTTTTTGATATCACATGTTTTATCAAAAACTGACTTCATATTATTTTGTTATATATTCAAATACGGAGTAGTTGGTATTATTATAAATCACTTTCAAAGTACGTATTATTATTGGTTTATGGGTGATATTTGGGATGTTTTAGATTGAAATTTTCTGGGTTGTTCTGATCTAGTTTGTTTAAGTTTGGTCTGATCTAAACTGACCTGGTTTGGTCTGATGAATGTTTGGTCTTTGTGTGTTTTGTACCTGTAAAGTTTGATCTGATTTGCTCAAGTCTGATCTGGCCCGTTTAAATCTAGTTTGATATATTATCATTTCAGGCCGAAAAAGAACCAAGTAAAAACTTCTTTTCTAAATAAGCCAATGGAGAATTGAGATGTTTTTACTTTGGATTGTTTTAAATCCCAAATCAGACTAGACCAAATTTAAGAGATCAGATCAAACTTAAATAGATCAGATCAGATCAGTTCAAACCCACCCAAATCAAACTTAAACAGACTAGACGAGATCGGATTGCTTGTACATAGGACGTGAAATAAACGCAACCACCCTGATTCATTGCATTTTCTTTCTTTGTATATGTGCTCGTAATTTGATATACTCCCCAATTTCTTCTAAAATGAAATTAAAAAATATTTAAATATTAATTTTTCATAATCCCCCGATTGAGCCAATTCATATATTGCCAATATTTCAGAAAATCTCTGCAAATTTAGTTGATTTTGGTAGTTTCAATGTTAGTAAATGAAGCTTTATTAGTTACATTCATATACTCGAAATTTTTCATTCTTCTATGTTTCCAAGTAGCCACCCACGCTTTAATTTGTATCAGGACCAGTCAAAATAAGTTGTATGTTTGCTGAAATTGATGGTATTAATGTTGAATAAGTGGTCAATGAATGTACGATTTACTAAGTACTTGTAATAATTAAGGTACTATGATGCACAAAATTACTACGGATCGGAGTCCTTCATCCTTGGTGCATAAGTGTATGCAATTATATATACAATTCTATGCCCTCATAGAGTTCATCATCCTGTGATCGATGGATCCTACACTCTCATTCAACAAAGTTGTTCACCCCAGAGTTGAAAACGTGAATGCTGCTCCTTGGTTATACTTTGATGAGCAGTATTCTCTTGAGTAAGAACTTAAATTTAGTGTATTACTATGTATTATTATAGTACAGATCGAAGATTTGCAATTTTAGTCCTGTAACTTTCGGTTGTTATCATATCGTTATTGGTCTTGTAACTTTAATCACTTGCAAATTTGGTCCTTTATCTAATAAATCTTTGCAATTCAAGAACTTTTCCACCGGAAAGTACACTTTCTGGCAGAAAATAAATTCGACGCCGACAACATCTTTTTCGGTATAGTATCAGAAAGTGTATTTTTCAATGGAAAAGTCCTTAGAAGTATTTAATACTACGTATACTACAGCTATTTAATTTGTGTCCCATTTCTCAATTAAACGCTTTTTTTTAATTTGTCCAAAAATATACTACTAACACTCTAATTTTAACTCTGATCCACTAACTTATTGTTTTCTGCTTTATACGGAGTAGTTTATACTTTAATATAGGGGCGGATTATACTCGGGTTATGATGGATCGAAACTAATCTCAGTGCAACCCAATTTTTTTCTTACTTTTTGTAGTGTAATCTTGTTCATTATTCTCATTTAGCTCACACACTAATGCATGCATCTAACCTAATAAATCTAATATAGAAATCTAATGCAAAACTTTCGATTATATTCTCCAGTTCACTTTAATCCAAATTTCTAAATCCAACCGGCTTTTACTCCGTATATATTTGTATAATCTTGTTTTAGTATCTGTCCCACGAAAAATATTAAACAATTAAACAATGAAAACTCGGATCTTAACATATATTCATAGTTTTTAAACTTATTTTAATTGATTTACTTTGAAGCTCATCTATTTCACAATTATTTGAGTATTTTAAGTAAAAAATCATCACCAATTCTACCTTGTCCCACATGAACATGTATTACATACTACTTTTTATTGGTCTCATGAAATTACAAAATAATTAATATCTATGTATTTTGTTCTTTTATAACTAACTTAGGGTAAGTTAAATAGTTTGTGCCACTTTTAATTTGCTAATTTATTCAACTTTATGTCACATGTAGGCCAACATGGGAACAACAGTCGGGATTTTATTGTGACAGCTTCAATTTGTACGACATAGCGTCTAACCCTTTAGACAGCTTTGTTGATCATTTCCAACTTCAAGAAAGCGCTTATAATAAACCCAACGTTCAAATACCATATCTTAAAGTCGAAGAGTTCGAACAGATTTGCAATGACCTAAACATTTGGGATTGCGAGCCATCTTCGGCTCTAGAATTGCAAGAAAATAATGGGCATTTCGAGAACGGAGAAGAGGAAGAAGTGAAGTCTTTAGTGAGTCCAGAATCTAGCAACAAAATTGACAATTATAAAGACGATGATTGTTTTGATGATGAGAGGACGAAGAAGAGGAATGAAGAAAGGGTTTGCAAGCCTGGCGCTTTAGAGTTTGAAGAGATTCAAAAGCATTTTGATATGCCAATCACGAAAGCTGCAAAGGAGCTAAAGGTTGGGTTGACTGCCTTGAAGAAACGATGTCGGGAACTCAATATCTCGAGATGGCCACACCGTAAGATCAAGAGTTTGAGGTGCCTAATTCACAATGCTAAGGTAATTATATATACATCACCAATTTATACCTTTATTATACTATTTAGTACGGATTGCAACATTACAATTTATATACTATTCGTGTCCTCTACCTTGCTACATTTTATTTATTTATTTATGTGAATTATTATTTTTGAAAAATATGGTTGAATTGGTCTCATTATTAAGTTTCATAATCTGATTTTTAATTTTTTTACTAATACATAATTAAATATAATGACGATCAAAGTTGTGTGTTGGTAAATGTGAAAAAAGGAATGTTGCAACTAAAAAAGAAAGAAGGAAGTATCTACTTAAGCCTAGTATAATCTCCATTCATATGAAAAACTAGTTTACGATTGACATATATCTCAGACGTCAATTCATGTGATTACAAGTACTGGTAAACTTTAAGTTATTGTTGCCCAAATCTATGTTTATGTGCATGAAGGTCAATGCATGTGAACATTTCTATTTGTGACAAATTTTCATTTGTGTCGTTGATTTTTTATTGAAAATAATGGGACCCGTACTATTATCATAATGTGTTATGTTACCCTAGTACGTAACATGTGTGTATGGATTGCATGATGTGTGTGTGGGTTACATGATTTGCATGGCCCTCTATTATTCCCTCTCTATTATTTTATATCCACCATTTGTAGTATATATGCATGATGCATGTCACGCAAGCTAAGTAGAGAGAAAATATGAATTGTTATTCCTTCTACATGAAATACAGTGCCCTTGATATTAGTTCTTATTTTTATCATTAATCTCAATTTTAACATTTTTCTTTACACATTCATTTTTGCTTGTTATCTAAATTTATAGTAAAAAAAATGTGTGTGAAAGATTATGGAGTGTGTACAAAAATTGTGTACTAAACATGCATGGTTAGAGTTCGTATTATCATGGAATCAAGTAATCATTGATTTGAATAATTCCTCACTAAAGTTTGCAATTTTCTGGCTTTTGGGACTTCACGTATTGTTAATATTATTATTAGAAATGTGTGCAAACCGGTATTTATGTTCTCATAATGAATAATTCGTCAACACCATAATTAAGGGTGGATGATCAAAATACATTATATATTGATTTTCAATGAGGATGTGTTTATAAAAATTAACAGCTTAAAGTGTGTTTATTTGTGAATGATTTGAAACAGGAGTTGGGGATGACTAAAGAGATTGAGATGTTGGAAGACCACAAGAGAATGGTGGAGTCTATTCCAGAGATGGAACTTACTGAAAGAACCAAGAAACTGCGACAAGCTTGCTTCAAGGCTAATTATAAGAAAAGAAGGACTCAAGATTATGCCAATTCTGATTAAATAGTCGTACTATTTGATTCTCTATTGTCTTAGTTTCAATCCTTACTACCATAAATATGAACATATACTGCCTCTCATCATTTAATATATTTACATAATGTCTGTACGAAATAAGATCGAAATGGTTCATTCCAATATTTCAGTGGCTTTTGGGGTTCTGGTTCATCAATACTTATGCACAAGTAGGCTATGTTTGGCGGGCATAAGTCCCTGTCTTCTAGCTTTTGTACGGTTTAAAAAGTTTATAAAAACTTCTAGTTATATGTTTGGCATGACAATATTTAAGAGTTTTTCAAAAATTAAAAGATCTTTTTTGAGATGCTACATGGAGTAGCATCTGAAAAAAGCTCATGACTTTTAGTATTAGTTAGTCCTAACAGCTTATATATCAAACCGAACTAAATCAAACAGTCAGTTTTTTACCAAAAAGCTACCACCTTTTCTTTTTAAGATTTTTTTAGTCACTAAAAGCTAACAGTTATTAAAAAGGTCAAAAAAATATCTTTTCAGCTAGTTGTGCCAAACATACCCGTAGTCAAGTACTACATTCGTGCCATCTTATTATATAATGGATTTGTTGTGATACTCTATGACTTGATAAGAAAGTACGGAATAATTTATGATTAATGGACTCATTTGTGCTCATTAATGGGCTCATTTGTGCATAATGGCTCAACGAATTATATTGTTTCTACGGAGGTGATTAATTTTGAGTCTGGTTCGCGGGACGACGGTTGTCAAAAATCTTTTTGTCGGATTACCTACTATTTGAACTATGTGTTATCAATTTAAGCCTATTTCATTCATTAAAAAAAAGTACGGAATAATATACGAAGTATATTGGGTTCTATGAATTAATCCTCACTTTTATGTTTGGATTTTTACAGAATGAAGTGAGATAAGTGAGAGGGGAGATAGAAGGCTAGGATGAGGATACCACAAACTACGAAGTATAATGGTTTGAGCAAAATTAATATCTGTGTGAGAATACACATTCTTATCGTTTGTGAGAGTAAGCCTATCACAAACTTTCAATTTAATAAGACACAAGCACATAACTTCTGAATTCAAATTATGGTATACGATTATTCCAGCTCTTACACAAAGAGAAACCAATCCTATTACAAACTATCGATTTAATAAGGTACTAGCAAGTACAAATTTTCTAAATCCAACTTATGGTATACGATTATTCCTCTTATGCAAAGCGGACAAACAAACCAAGTCTTGAAAGCCGCCACAACAATACAAGTTTAAGCACCTTAAACTTTTCTTTCTATTTATAATTTTGGGAATTCCATTTTTTTGCATTTCCTCTCAAGGAAGTATTTTATGATTTTAATGTTTGTTACATCAATTACAAGACCAACATTAATCAACTCCATATATTTTCTATAAATAACATATTGACAGCTCTCGTATAATTTTACTATTTTTTTTAATTAATTTTTTATTTTTTTATGATTTTTTAATATTTTTACTTTATAAATATTTTATTAATTTTTATTATTTTTCTCTATGATTTTAATTAGTTTTTATGATTTTATTATGAATTAAAACATTTTCTTATGAATTAATACACTTAGGAGTATTTAGGATAGAAAATTAATGTTTAGTCCTATTTGAGAATGATTTAGGATTTTAATCCTATTTGTAATTTTTAGCCTAGGTTTAGTCATATTTAGGGCAATAACTAATATTAAATACCTTGGCCCCAACTCTCGTTCTTTAACTCGACATCCACTGATTCACATTTGCCGGAAAGTAATGGTTCTAGTTTTTAACCATGAAGACAGTAACGAGCCGTAGAGGTGGGCCTGATCCAGAACGGTAACCAGATGTAGAGGTAGGCGCGGTCCAGAAAGGATCACTAAATTAGTAAACCCCGTAATGTATCCGTTAAAATCTAACTTGCTGCTCATACGTAATCAACATGATACAATCGGATTATATTTTTAGTAGTATGATAGTATTTCAATAATTAAAAAACTCTACCATATAACGCTATGTTGTAAGACCTGAACCGGACCAGACCTAGACCATATAACACTATGTTGTAAGACGCTATGTTCCATAGATGGGACTTGCTAAAAGAAACAAGAAATTGCGACAAGCTTGCTTCAAAGCTAATTACAAGGAAAGGACTCAAGATTATGCGAGTTCTGATTAAATGGCCATACTATTTGATTCTCTATTGCTATGATTTCGATCCTTACTATCATCAATTAGACAATATATTTCCTATCATCATTTAATTTATTTACATAGCGTCTTTGTACAAAATAAGAAATGGTTCATTTCCAATATTTTTAAGTGGCTTTTGGGGTCTGGTTCTATACTTACGTAGAAGTTAATAACGGTTCTAAATACTACATTCACCCGTCTTATTATACAACCTCCATCCCGCTAAGAAGTTCCTGATTTAACTTACACACATATTAAAAAAATAAACTTACCAGGGATATATTTTACTGAAGCTGTTTACTAGGTAGAACTTTTCTTTTGGCGATAAGCATATATAGAACTTCTAAATTGAATTGATGGTATACATTATTCACTACGCCAAAAATGGCCTTTTTCAACTTACAAAAACAGTCGAAAAAAAGTATCTTCGACTGTTTTGGCCAGTCAAAGTGGGCGTCGAAAAAAAAGAGTCAAAAATTTATTCAACTCGTTTCTTTAGTTGAAATCAGATTTTTAACATCGACTTCTTTAGACTGTCAATGTTTAGCGACATGAAATATCAGTCAAGAATATATATATAGTGAATAATATTATAGATTTTATTGCAATATTATGTAAACTTATTTTATTTATCATGCACACCAATTATAGAGGCAATTACAATAATATTTAAGAGAACAAAATAAAGTAAATAATTTTCATTCATCAACAAATAACTCAATTAGAATTGAGTAATCTCTACCATCTTTCGAACATCAAGTGCGATTGACATACATGGTCCAAATTGACCCTTTAACTAATATTCAATAAGTCTAACGTGTAAAAACTAGCAAACTAAAGATCAAAGAACAAAAGTAGCACTGAACATTAATTGATCCTAGTGAAGTGAACATTTGCTTTTGGCCAATTGATGAGTTCACCGATCAATATGTCTTCAAACTTCTCATCTCTGTCATATAGGTACTCACTGTCATCAAAGATCTCATCAATAATGATACTATAAGCTTCTTCATTTGGTGGAGCTTCCATATTTAAACGCCCATAAGCAATAACCTTTTTCCTTAAATTTTTTATGAAACACCCCCTTGTAGTTAGACTAGATTCACCTCCCTGGCATGTAATCAGTCAAACAAATTAGTAATACAATAGATTTAAGAAATTAATCAATTAATTAGTTCAAACACATGTGGTAATCAAGTAAACTTATCAATGAAAGCATGATGTAGGAGCTTCTTTCCTTAAACTGAAACATGATGGCATGTACAACTTTCAAACAATGTAACATCTACTAATAAATTTATAAAACTTACTAAAGCAATAATCTGAATCATATATGTGTGTGTGCATTCATACCCATTCAACAATAATCTGAACCAAATATGTGTGTTTAAGTGATTTTATGACCTCTACAGTTCACAAAACTTAGCAATTTATCTTAAAGTTTGATCTATGTTCAATTCAATTTATTTTCTAGTTACAAGTAGACATTCTCTATTAAAATGTTTATGTTTTTAAGAGAAAAGTTTTATTGAATCTATGTTTTCAATTTATTTTCCCCATTTGCTGGCTCAGTTCAGAAACTACACTCACTCTCTGAATCTCGAGTGTTTTCTGTAATGTACAACTAAGATGCCGAAGTCTGAGTTTGAAATGAAGAAATCTAACCGTTCTAGTTCCACATGGATTGAACTACGATGAGGGAATGAATTTTGCATTTCAAATAGAACTAGAAATGACCAGAGCAAAGCTAATGGCTTCAGAGCAAGAGGTCACAAAGTTAAAGGCTAACCTGTTTGAAGTGATATCTTAAAAAGTTCATTGGTTATGGCATTTACAGACCCAAGCTTCTGAGCAGAGACATGAACTGTCAAATTCATCTTCTACTATCAGCTTTTTAGAGAAGGAGCTAGATATGACTAAACACGAACTTGAGAGATCAGAAGAGGAGAATTACAAGTTAAAAGCTTAACTTGTTCTGTCAAAAGCCATTCTTTGGAACTTGAGAGATCGGACGAATAAATATTACAAGTTAAAAGTTCAACTTGATTCTATCAAAAGCCATGCTTTGGAACTAGAGGAAAAGTACAATTCCAATATAAGGAAAGTATATTATGAGAAGGAAAAGCTCCAATCTGACATATCTAGTTTGTTCGAAAAGCTAAACTTAGTACAGATGAAGTAGGAAGAACAGAGATGGTAAAGGCTGCTTTAAAGCTAATCATCAAGAAATGGACAAATTCAAGAACTGCGGTCCACATGTTCAAATCTAAAGGCTGTTATAGATGAATTGAGATTGAGAGTGAAGGAGTTGGAGGGAGTAATAGATAGGCAAATCAATGTGATATCAGAGAGGGAAGAAGAGAAGAGGGGGGTGATAAGGCAATTTCAACTCTCACTTGAGCATTACAAAAATGGATATCAAGAGTTGTTGCGTGATCTAGGTGTTGAGAAAAAAGGGACAATGATCATTGTTTCTTCATGTGTTTTCCTTGATATTATGTTGGGTTACAACATTTGGATATGTAAGTGACATTTGTTGTTTTCTTGTTTTTTTCTCTCTGCAGAGTGATAAACCATTATTAGTTTAAAGGTTTGTTGATGTCTAAACCTGAGGCTTAAGTTATCTTCTATTCTTTCTCTTCAAATAAAAAAAGGGAAGATTTTCAAGTGTACAGAATAAAAAAAACATGTCCTCAAATACTAAGCTTACCTGAGAAGTATCACGGAACTCTTGTGATTGCTGAGATTTTGCTGCATTACTTTGGACCAGTTGCTTTAATGTAGCTACTTCTTCTCTAAGTATTATTATTTCATTGTTAACCGTTTCATGTTTTTCCTTTTCTTTGCGAGCAATTTCTCTAGAAGGACCTGAAGCATGTATTTCAGTCTTTGTAACACCTCCACCCATACCACGTACATAACCGTTTCCATCACGACCACATACCTAAAATAGAAATTTATGCTCCCTTGATTTACATTATCACTAGAGAAATGCAGGTTTTTATACTATATACAATAATTATAACATCACAAACCATCGCAACAGCATCATGATCCAAATCTTTCTGTCCCAAATATGGATCATCGACTACAAGCCTTCTAATTTGGTCCTGTAAGACACCAATAAGATTTACTCACACTTTTTTACCCAAAAATACTTCATTATTTAGCAATCCAAGTTTATAAGAAAAAGTCATGTAAAACAGAGTACAAATATTTGAAAGCCAGGTTTCCAAACTAAAGATCCAACAGGATGAGATCAGTAGCTTAGCTCCGGGATCACAACATCTAATTGCAATAACATACGGAGTAGAAAAGAAAAAAAGAACTCCAAATAAACATCCTCACAGTAGCATGATATGCATAATACTAACAAGTCAGACGCCACACATCAACGCAAAATAATTATTGTTCATAAAAGAAAACTAAAAGTGAACACCACACACTTCATATCAAGTGCAAAACACCATACATGAGTATGATCAACAAGAGAGGAATCTAAAAACTACCATGGAGACGGAGAACAAGGTGGAGTGTGGATTCCTGAATGTTGTAATCAACCAGAGTGATAAAAAAGATTTACTGACACATATAAGCCTAGCCAAATGAACTTTCAATATCATTTTTATATAAGTATTGCACTTACCAATCCTTCACTTGTGCTCATGGAGGTAGAACCATCCTTTCTGACATGTGTGACCAAATACAATTCAGTTCTATTGATGTCCCCGGTAGGACTTTCCTCTTTCTACAAACATATAACAATATAAAAGGGTGAGCTTGGCTAAACGCCATAAAATGGAAAAGGCACATACATTTAAGGTGATTTTGGGTTCATCTTCCATATCTCGTCAAGAAATGTTAGCGGACATGGGCCATGAATTCACAACCATGTGTGCAGATATAGATGAGAAAGGAATCTGGAATGAAAAGCCAGAAGATTTAGTCATGGCTCTTGTTGAAGCAAAGGCAGATGCCATTATATAAAAACTTCAAAATGGTGAACTTCATAAGTGTTATGTCACCCCAATACTTCTAATTGCGGTTGATAGAGTGGTGATCTATGAAGGTATAGTGATGGAGAAACTGATTAATGAGGTTCTTTAGATAGAGTTGAGTTTGTTCGCCCCGGCTCAATCTATCAATCACATTGATTGAGTGTGACATCAATTTCGACTTTTTATATTCATAGCAAGTAGTAGAACATGTTTATTGATTTAAAACTCTAAGTTGAATGTTTTTGTATAATGAAACATCAGATATCGCCATTGTTTTTTTGGAAGACAGATATCGCCATTGTTAAAAAAGGTGAGCTTATTTCTTTAATACAATATAACCAGGTCAAGAAAAAATTGAATTTCTAAGAAGTGTATGAGTTACCATTCTGTGAGCTATCCTTGCACACCCAGTCCTACCCGATGAATGTAGTCTCTTAGCGCATTTCCTTGATTTTCTGCCCTTTTCACGTCGATCCTTGTCTGCTGGCATAGAGCAGAACTCAATAAAATCTTCCCAGTCTTCTTTTTTCATACCTCTTGGCCTATTCTTTTTTCGAGCAACATCCGTTTTATACTTATCATACTTCTTACGAAGTGATGATTTCCAATTTTTCCAAGCAATGTTTGCTTTTCTTAGCACTTTTTTCCTATACACTTCTGGTACACAATACTCATACTGCAATAATAATGAGAGAAGATATATTACAGAACTTAAGAAATAAAAAAAATTATTCAGCCCATTTACTTACAGTAATATTGTTCCATATGGTATTCTTGATACTGAAGCTGACATCCTTCCATGATTTGATCGCAGGTGGACAATGTGCCTTTGCAATTTTTCCAACTACAGTTGAAAACTTCTCTGATCCAAGACCTACGGGCTGCCCATATTCATTGAATATGATTTCCTTTTTTGGACCTAACAAAAGAATCCATATTTTCAATAATTAAACTAGGAAAAACTATTAAAATAAGTCATTGTGTAAATAAATGATTACCTGACTCATCATGTGCATTTCTATCACTCCCAATAGAATGCTCGTCGTTAGATTGATCCTCCAGGAAATCATCCTCCATGGATTGATTTTCATCATCTGACATATTAAAACTATCCAACATACAACATATATGATAAGATTTTATGATTTTTGAAACATAAAAATGTTTGAAAGTAAAAACAGTTAGCACAATAAGTCCTCTATTTACATATATCATCCTCCATGCTAATATTTGTAAAATTAAACCTAAGATTAACACTAAATACATAAACTAACCTCAAATGATACTTACTTGATGCTTATTAATATAAATAGTTGACACACATAATTTATTCACTAAATGAGGAGTATTTATCTTAAACCAGACCACTTTAATGTCCGAGGATAGCCTCCAGCTAAAAATAACTAATATGGGAGACTGGGAGTTGTAAGAACACATAAACAAAATGAAACAGAGTGTTTTTTAAACCTATGACAAAATGAAGTTCACTAAGTATTAGCCTTCACTAGCTACACTTTAATTCATAGAATCAAATAACTGCCTTCATCAGTTAGCCTTAAAAATAGGCTGATTTTACAATTTACATACATATGTGTCTTTCTTAAAAATAGGCTGAACAACATTATATCCCCCTTCAGATATCATTAGTAATACTCCATCCCCCCAAAAAAAGTGTCATGTTTCATGCTTGAGTAAGGGCAACTTTTTATTTTTTAGTTAATCAATCTACAAGTTTTTTTAAAAAGTTGAATAGTCAATTAGTAAACCTAAAATTCATTTCCCAGACTCTTTGGAGTAATAGACTAAAACTCCTGCAGCTTGGTTTTACCAGTTTTGTTTACAGTTTATTTGAAGCAAAGTTGACTTCTAACCAGATTACTTTATTTGGGAGTTTTTTAAACGTGGCTTTTAGATGAAGTTATTTCCAGTTTAAGTCTTAATCCGATCCATGTACCCGACTAAAATATAACTGGAGTTTTTTTACCAAAGTTGGTTGAATAAGTTGTTCAAAACCAGTCAGACACTTCCATTTCAGAAATTAATTTAATTTATCACACTTCATCTTCATGAGACTTTGGGTGCTTTTATCAAACAGTTAGAGGACATAACCAAAGTTGCATACCACCTGTAATAAACAAGCAGCCATACCTGTTCATTATGTAGATGACCTTTTTATAACAGACTATCCAAACAAGAACAATAAACGAGTGACATAAAAAAACTAGGTATTAAAGCTGTTTGTACCTGGTTGGAGTGTACTGTGCTCGTCGTTCTCGTCTGCCTCTCTTGCACGAAACAATCTTTAGGGTGAACTGAAGTAGAGTAGCAGTTCATAAATTAGGTTTATCAAATAAAAAAATGTGAGCGGGAATTCGTTTTTGGTTTGGCGCGCAGAAAGGGTTGAAGTGAAAATTATATTTCATTGTGAATTCTTGTCTTTGATTTTGATCGAGTGTTGGCGGGCAAAGATGGGCGATAGATACGAGCTCTTCAAATTTTAGATTTGGCCTGTTGAAAATTTGGGCTTGTGACTTGTAGCGCAGATCTAATAAGAAAGTAAGACATTTTCAACACATTTATTTAGTCAAAATTGAATTGACGTGTGTTGTGAGTCAATTTTAGAAAAGCGAAAGTGTCAAAAAAATGCAGTTTTGGCGTAGTGATTCTTCTTATGTTTACCAGGTAGAACTTTTCTTTTGGCGATAAAGCATATATAGAACTTCTAAATTGAACTTATGGTATACATTATTCTTCTTATGCAAAGCGGACAATCAACACCAAGGCTTGAAAGCCACTACAAAAAGTTTAATCACTTCATTTCATCTCTTTCAACTTTTCTTTCTATTTGTGTTTTTGGGGGATGTTGGAGGTATTGGTCTTACCAAGTCCTCCCTTCCACTTATTATGTTAAGGTCTGCACCCTATGTTTAGTCCCTCTCTTTTATCTCACCGTGACTCTACTGCCTGTCTAATTATTTTGAGAGTTCCTCCTAAATAATTCAGCCAACACCCCTTGACTTATTATATGTCTACTGCCAAAGTATTGGGCTCCCCTTTTCTTTGTCAATGTACCCGTGACTTCAATTATAGGGGCTGCCTATAATAACCATTGAGCTTCTTCTTTGAGAGTAAGGAGTGAAGACACCTTCCTTTCCTCTTGGTGAGTGAGAGTGTTTGTGAGTGAGCAGTGAGGTGTGTGTGTGGCGTGAGATAAAGAGAACTGAGAGTCTTTCTTCTTCCTTCCTCTTTGTGAGTTGAGAGAGAGTTCAGAGCTAAACTTGGTGAGTGGTGGAGTGGCTAAACAATCCTGGGGTGGTGCGTGTGAGTTGTTTTGGTTGGAGACCTGAGCTGAAATACACACCCAACAGTGGTATCAGAGCCTGGTTGCCGTCTGCCGCCGTACTCCGCCGCCGTCCGCCGCCGTCTTCCGTCGTACGCCGCCGTACTCCGCCGCACGCCGCCGTTCGAGGTTGCTGGTCGTTGATTGAAGACAGTGGAGGTCTTCTCACGACTCGTCCTCGCCATCGAGTTCACATTCGTCGCCAAAGAGGTAGTTGCTTGCCGACTGCTTTGCCGCTGAAATCATTCGCCGCTGAAATCATTCGCCGCTGAAGCCGAGTCCACCTAGGAGTCGTCGCCGGAGAGAGAGAGAGCCATTGGTCGTTGGTTTGCTGAGCTCGAGGCCGGATCTGGAATCCCGTCACAGGAGGCTAGCTGGGATCGAGACCTGGAATCTCGTCGCGGAAGCCGTCGCTTGGAAACCGCCCAAATCCGCCTGCTGTTCGTCGATTTCGGAGTTCGTCAGTGGAGATCGCCGCTGGAGCTGGAGCTGGTTCGCCGGTGGAACCGTCAATCGCCTGTCGAAGCCAACCCCTGTGTTCCTTGTTGGTCGCAGAAGGCCTGTAGCAGAGCACGTTTACCGGTCGCTGAGGATAGAGACGAAGGTCGTGGGCCCCTGTACTTTTGTAGTCTGGACGCAGGGATAGGAGCTGGACTTCGGGTGAAGTTGGGTTGGATTTCGGCCTGCCCAATTGCGAGGCCTGGAGGCTGGACAGTGCTTCCATTCAAAATTGTTGGATTTTGGGTTGGAGGTGTTGCTGATGGACTTGGATGCTCGGGCTATACGAAGGTGTTAGAACCACAGTCAACCCTGGAGCTGAACTGACTTGGCAGAGAGGTGTTTGGTCAACGCAAGTCAACTGATCAGTCAACTCCAGTCAAAACCTCCAGAAAAATCCCAATTTTTTAAAATTGGGTGGGTAAGGTCGAAACGCCTCTCCTAGGGTTTCGCTCCGGTATATTGACTTTTATCCCTTTTATCGCTTTTGTAGTGATTTTTTAGGTCTTTTATTGTGTAGAAATTATATTTTTAGGTTTATTATTGCTGTTAAAATTGATTGAATTGTTGTACTGTGTTTGTGCTGAAAATTTATTATTTATTTGTGCTTATACGGAAGAACAAGGGGTTTGAACTTGAGTTTGGTGCTCATTAATACTCCCCGCGTGTTCGTGCTAGTTGCTCCGTATATTTGTAGCCTTATAAATATTTAAAATTGTTTTTCAGCAAAATTTACTTTTTCTTTTGTTGCTTATTTTTCTCTGTGAAAAATGTCTGCTTATAATCAGTATGATATGGCTCCATTTAATGGAAAATCTGATTTTAGCATTTGGAAGCAAAAAATTAAATGTATTTTAATACAACAAAAATGTTTTAAAGCAGTTGGCGAAACCTATTTAATTTCTGACACGGAAGATAAAAGGGTTGAAATGAATGAAAATGCATGTTCCGTGATTTATTTGAACTTATCTGACTCTGTGATTAGAAAAGTTGGAATTTTAGAGAATGCTAAAATTCTGTGGGATAAATTGAATGAACTGTATACTGAGACCTCTTTGCCTAACCGGATATTTTTACTTGAAAAGTTCTTCAAATTTAGACTAGATATGTCTATAGATATTGAAGAAAATCTAGATGTTTTTACCAAACTTATTTCGGATATTAAGTTGTGTGGTGATAAGCATATAGATGATTATTCCCCTATTGCTCTTTTAAATGATATTCCTGATTCCTTTAGTGATGTGAAATCTGCTATTAAGTATGGTAGAGATAATGTGACTCTTGACATTGTGGTAAATGGTCTTAAGAGTAAGGAATTAGATTTAAAACAGATGGGTAATGGTAGAAAATCCGAGGAAGTTATGCATGTGAGGGGTAGAGAAAATAATAGTAGATGACATAGATCTAAGTCTAGGTCTAATTCGAGACGTTGCTATTATTGTCACGAATCTGGTCATTTCATAAGAGACTGTCCTAAATCTAGGAAAAATGAGCATAGTGAGCATGCTAATTTGACTACGTGCGAAGATGATTTAGGTGATGTTTTTATGATGAAAAAGCTATGTGATTATGACTATTTGAGTTCTGTGATATCTGATTCTTTGGGTAAATCAGATTGGGTGGTAGATTCTGGTTGTACTTTTCATATGTCCCCTTTGAAAAATATTTTTTCAAACTATAGAGAGATTGAGCATGGCTTTGTTTCTTTAGCAAATGAGAAGAAATGCAATGTGCTAGGAATAGGAGACGTATGCCTTAGTTTTTCTTCTGGTTATGTGCTTACTTTGAAGAATGTTAGGCATGTTCCTGAGCTGTGTTGTAATTTGCTATCTTGTGCTTCTCTTGAAAATGAGGGTTTGAAGGGAAAATGGGGAAAGGGAATCATGAAAGTTGTGAAGGGTTGTTTAGTTGTTTTCAAAGCTGAGATGAAAAACAACTTGTATGTTTGTCATGCTGAACATGTACTTGATTCTGTGAATTGTGTGCAACCATGTGTGCTAGGAAAGCAGTCTAGAGTTAGTTTTTCTAATTTGCCTAAGTGTACTAATGTGCTTGATTGTATTCATGCTGACTTGTGGGGTCCTTATAGTGTTTCCACTCATGGTGGGAAAAAATATTTCCTGACGTTGATTGATGATTTTTCAAAGAAAGTGTGGGTTTTGTTGATTGAGAACAAATCTTAAGTTTTTGATAAGTTTAAAAACAGGAAAACCCTTGTTGAAAAACAAACCGGTAAGAAAATTAATTTTTTAAGGACCACTGTTAGTTTTGATGATCAGCTTGGTGATTTATGTGATACTTGGGGTATTTCTATGCATAAACCTGTTCCCTCCACACCCCAACCGGATGGGGTTGCTGAGAGGATGGTTAGAACTTTATTAGAGAGGGTGAGGGCTATGTTAGCTTCATCTGGGCTCTCCAATAAGTTCTGGGGGGAAGCTATTTGTTACGCTGTTGATTTGGTTAATCTGTCCCCGTCTGTTCCCTTAGAAGGGAAATGCCCTGAATCTGTGTTCATGGGCAAACCACTTGACTTGCCAAATTTGAGAGTGTTTGGTTGTGCTGCTTATGTGAATCGTGTGAATGATAAATCTGAACTTAGGACTAAGGAATATGTTTTCTTAGGATATCATGATTGCATGAAAGGTTATAGGCTTTGGTGTAGGAGTGAAACTTGCTTCAATGTGTTGATGAGTAGAAATGTCATTTTTGTTGAAAATGAATTTCCTTGCCTACTTGTTTCTCCTGATGTTGCTCCAAATGAGGTGGAGCATTTGCCTGTTGAAGTTCATTCCGATTTACTTATTGAAACCAAACCCAAATTTGTGAATGAAAATGTTTTCATGGTGAAAATAAAGAAAATAATATTTCTATTAAGGTGGAGCATGATATGAATGTTGTATGCAATATGCTTGAGTTGCGTGATTGCCATGTTATTAGAGATAGAGACATTAGGAAGCATGAGAGAAATAATATGTGCAATGTGTTGGACTATATTTCCTCTGAGTCTGCTTTAAATGTGCTTAATTCTCTATTAATTAAAATCTTTGTGGTATTTGGTATGCTATTTTCTTTGTGTTTTGAAAATGTGATACCAAGTGATGATGTGAGCTCTACCTGTGCTAGTTATAGAAATAATATTGTTTCTTTTATTTTCTTTGTACTTGCTTTGTGTGGTTGTTGGATTAGTTGGAATCCCCAACTTCTCTCGGATGCTTGCTTGCGTGGTCTATTAACATGTGGTGTGCTCGTTAATAGTTTTGTGATGGTTTTGGTTCTGAACTCGAGGACCGATTGGTAGAGTTCATGGTTTGCATGGTAAGCTTGGTCCGAAAGGGAACTTTGGTTCTCATCTATTACTTGTATGATCGCAATGATGTACTTGTAATGGTTCAGCGATGATGAGTCTCCTCACAACCGTGTATTTGTTACTCTACACCACCTAGGACCAATAAGGTGAAGAATGTTGGAGGTATTGGTCCTACCAAGGCCTCCCTTCCACTTATTATGTTAAGGCCTGCACCCTATGTTTAGTCCCTCTCTTTTATCTAACCGTGACTCTACTGCCTGTCTAATTATTTTGATCGGCACGCGGAATAACAAATTAAAAACGTGGCATTGAGTTTTGTATAGAAGAAATAGAAATAATAAGAATCACATATTGGTTAATCAAGAAGAAAAGTAACAAAATTTTTTAAACAATAAAAAAGGAAAAAATAAATTTACGTTCGTTCCAATGGACATTGCACACTTTGAATTATGTGAGAAATAAGAAAATTAAAAATCATGGTTGTTTTTACTTGGACTGAGATTTTCTCGTCTGGTCTAATATTGTTAGTCTGGTCTGAACTGGTCTGGTATAGTAAATGTTTGTTCTCTATGTATTTTATAACTGTCCAAGTCTAATCTGATCTGTCTGGAACTAAAAACAATGCAAGTAAAAACATTTTGATGCCGTTTGACAACACTATTTTTCGGCATATTATTCTTACCAGCCAACTTTTTCACCAAACACGTAACTTTTGTTTTCACGCGCTGAATTGTGTAATAAGCAGAAAAAGTAACGTTGGAATTAGTTTTCTGGCTGTATTGGCTGAAGTTACTGTAGATAATCATTTTAACTATTTTTACATACTCGTATAATTTTTTCTTTATGTTATTAATATAATATATTTTAAAAATAATTTTCTTAAATCAGCAGAATTAGCCAATACAGTCACTTCAACCAGAACTTCATAAATTTTAACAGAATCAGCCAAAACAGCCAATTTTCGTTTTACCAAATGAGCTCTTTATGAGATTAAGGTTTGAATAGAACTATAAATTAATTATTTAAGGTTTAAATATGTGTTTAGTCCTTACAAATATAGTACATTTTGTTTTACATCCCTGCAAAATTATTTTTTTGTTTTTCGTCTCTGCAATTACGTTGGTTTTCTTTTTAGTTCATCATTGATGATAACAATCTCCGCTTGACCTCAAAATAACCCCGATTAATAGATCTCCTCTAATTCTTTATCATGTTATTTAAATAGTATTTTATTGTATTTTTTAGAAGGTTTTTAATATATATTTTTAAAATATGAATTCTTAGGTTTAAATAATTTTAACTCTCATATTAACGTCAAAAAATTATAAAAGGACAAATTTAAATATGTCTACTAGATTTATGTAACTGACAATAATTTTTGTTGTAAATAGAATAGTTTTGGAACTGGAGATAGACTAAAAAAATACATATTACAGGGATGAAAAAAAAAACATTTTGCATAAACCTAAAACAAAGTGTGTCATATTTAAACCTTTATTTAATGAGAGAGTTTTATTTGATAACTCGAAAGGGAAATCTGGTTAAATCGAATGAGATCGAGGGAATAATACGAAATGTACCAGAAATTTCTTATTAGACGTGGAAGCCGGTCTATCGTGAGTCACAACACAGTCTGCCATAAACGCCTTGGATCTGCTTCGGATAAAGACCCACCCGCCCATATAAAGCCCTCACTCGGACAGCGTGGATAACGTGGCGCGTGACCAATGCATCACCGTTCTCACGTTTCTGCAACCGTACCAGCTCGACTTCCATTGATTCACTGAATAAATACCTCGGCCCCAGCTCTCGTTCTCCCACTCGCCATCCACATTCGCAGCACAAATATGTCATCTTCTCTGGTCCAGTTTCCTTCGCCGGAAAGTAATGGTTCCAGTTCTAACCACGAAGACGGTAACGACCGGCACGATTCCGGCTTCTCCACCCTCGACGAACCTAGCTTCGCTCTACTGCCACCGGAGTCGTTTCTTCAGGCCGCCGTGTCTCTCAAAGACCAGGTGAGCTACACTGTCCGGAATAAATGGCCATTTATTTTTATGAAGGAAATCAATAAATGAAATTCGATTTTTGTTGGTGGTGTGAGATTGTCGAGGTCACGTGGAAAGCACGCGGCGGCAGTTCGGGTGCTTATTTGGATCCGACGGTGTACACGGGGTTGATGGGGACGGCTTACACCTGCCTCCGGTCGTTTGAGGCCACCGGAAATCGCCGTGACTTGCTATTGTGCACCGACATTGTTGACAGTTGCGCGTCACTCGCCTCCACCAGGTTCGTGTAGATCAGTTCTCAGTTATTTAATTTGTGTCTAATTTCTCCGGTTAGCTGTAAATTTAGTAATTACACGTATTTTGCCGTGACTAGTAGGAGTAGTTATGGAGTATAAAAGAGAGATGACTTAACATAACAGGGGACATAAGCTTTGCCATAGATGATAAGTTAATATGCATTGCTCTAAATAGAACTAAAACACATTTAAAAGGGTGGGGTAATTTGAGTTTGCACCTTATTTTATTGTGCAAATTAGACTTTGCACCCCATTTTTTAAAAACCTTTGTTTTGCACCCAACTCCAAATGAAAAGACAAAAATGCCCCTCCATTAAAAATTTTGTTGACCTTCAACATATTCCTGATGGAGGGCATTTTTGTAGTTCCATATAAGGGTGGGATGCAATTTTTTTTTATTATAAAAAAACGGGATGCAAAGTCCAATTTGGACAATAAAATGGTATGCAAATTCAAATTATCCCTAAAAAGATTATTTATGTTCAATTCTCGTTCGCACGGGTAGCACAGTTGGTTCAGTGTCTGGGAAATTTGGAACAATAACCAATGTTCGAAACTCGCGACGGCCGTGTGAAAGTTACAGCTCCTGCATGCTGGGCTGGACCTCTGGTGCGCACGAGTATAAAATCTACTATCATTGGGTCTACTAAGTCATAGCGACTTGCTCATTCATCATTCTGTCGGGTCGGGATGTGGGGCTCTTGTGATGGGATGTGGGGCATTGATTTGTGAATGTTTACGGTTTAGGCTATTGCAAAATGGCATGTTTAGCTAAAGTCATGAAGGTTAAAAAACGATGACTGTTTTTTTTTACTATGCTAAAATAGTACTCCGTAATATGGAGCCTTTCTATTAATTTAAAGTTTTTCTCATCTAATTGTCATGTTGCGGAGCCCTCAATCCTCTCATCTAATTGTCCATTTTTATGTTAAAAAATGTTCAATTTCAATCGTTGAAAGTGGGGACTCAAATTGGGGGAGAAGTTTACTTCATTTTCAAAGAAAATGTCCTCCACTTAAATCAATTCCTGACCAGCCAAGGTTTCGTGTATTAGGCCGTGGGCCCCATTGATTTGAGAATGATGGAAAGTCATTTTCCTTTTGATGTGTGACATCTTTTACTCCGTAATTTGGATAAACAATAATGTAACAAGTGTGGAGCCCGGCAACCCTATTAGCTGAGACCCCATTTTGGACATGGTTGGCCCTCAGTTCAGTTGTTGAACCCTAACTACTCTTTGAAAATTGAAACACAGTTTTTTTGCGTTTGCTGTTTGATGAGGAATTATTCTCAGAATTGATTTATCTTAGAAGTGGGTAAAATTTCCTAAGAAAAAAATGATTTATAAAAAGTAAACTTTAGATTATTCATGATTTTGTTTGACAATACATTTTTAAAGGAATACTCCGTAGAACACATTCCTTTAACGGCGTAGCTGCAGGTAGAGATGGCAATTTCGGTTGACCCGTTGGATACCCGCACCGAATCGATTTGGTCAAACTGGGGAAAACCGGTTTGGTTATGGTTGACCCGTTGGATACCCGAAACTTTTAAATGGATAATGGTGTGGTTATGGTTCTATACTAATCTGCCTCATTATCAGCCCCGAAACCGCTCCGTTCACTAATAGTGCGGATACCCGCACCGTTACCCTATCCGTAACATTATTAATAAATTATAACTTTACATATATAATAATAAGTATATATATGCTAAATTGTGTATACTAAATTGTATATATCATATAAGTAATAATACACCAGAGCTCCACTTCAAGAAACCCTAACAGTTTTTGCTAACTAGGCCTAAAACATAGTGGTTGTGATGGATTACTACTTTTTTAGGCCTAAAATAGTTCTTTTTTTTTGTGATGGATTACTACTTTTTTAGGCCTAAAATTAAATATAGGCCTAAACCAGTTTTTGGAATTTGGATTCTGGGATTATTACTATTTTTTATTATGTTACAAGAGATATTAGGTGCATGTCATACTATTGAATTTATTTAGGTCAGTCTGCTTGATTGCTTAAATATTTACTTTTCTATGTTTTAGGGTGCTTTGAATATATAAATAACAAGTAAGATTAGAAATTTGTTATTTCGTATCATTTGGGCAAACGGTTACCCGTGGATAAACCAATTCCCCGTTGGGGCTGATACGGTTCAAATAAAAATTACCCGAACGGGTAATGGGGCGGTTTTGGGGCAGACATTTATCCAACGGGGCGGTTTCGGTTTTATGTGTACCCGTCCCCGATCCGCCCCGTTGCCATCCCTAGTTGCAGGTCTACAAGCCTGTGATGAATTGACAATAATTGAACTTTGAAGAAATAAGAGATACCTGCACAGATAGCTCAGTTGGTTGAGTGGTGGGAAAGTTGAACAATGATCAAGGATCGAATCCCGCAGCGGCCAAGTGGAGGTTACAGCTCCTGCGTGATGAGCTGGACCTATGGTGTGCACGGGTACAAGCTCTACCACCATTGGGTTGATTGAGTCACCTTGACTTACAACCCCAAAATTCTTGTCGGGTCGGGGTGTGGCGGGCCCTTGGAGTTGGAGATTCTACTTTTTGGACAACAAAAAGAAACAAGAGATTAAGTGGGTTCACGGGTTTGTGTCTGGCGTTGCTAGGTGCATAAAGAATGTGCTTGTGGCACGTCTAGTGTTCGAAGGTGGTATAATTAAGTGGGTTCCTTAAAAAAGGGAAAAATAATTAAAATACCCAAACTTTGAAGGGGTGTGAGGTAAGCACTCCAAACTTGCACATGTAATTTAAGTACTCTAAATTTTATATAAAAAGTTATTTTAGCACCATGATCTTTTATTATTTCTTTCAAAAATGCTAATTTTTTGTGTTAATTTCATAATTTACAATATTTTAGCATTCGTGAAGATACAATTAACATTTGTAAACTTCCATTGTAAAATAAATAGTATTAGCCTTCACTCAATATAATTGCAACGTTTTCACTTTGCTATTTTAAATTATGCAATTAACACCATAAATTTACATTTTTTAAAGATATAATACATGACCATGGTGTTAAAATAACTTTTCATATAAAGTTTGGGGTATTTATATTACATATGGAAGTTTGGGGTGTTTATCTCACACCCCTTCAAAGTTTGGGGTATTTTAATTATTTTCCCCCTTAAAAAAAGATGCTCTAATAACATCAACATGTTTTTTCGTACAATCAACTTATGCAACAAAATTGTGATTCACACAAAGAAGATTATTTTATGTGTAATTCTATGTCTTTTGGAATTAAAAATATTTAGGATCGATTTGGCCAATGGTAAAAATGGTGAAAAGCCTCAACTTGAGTATATAGCTCAAATTATGAATCCTCAAGCGCCTGAGAATTATTATTAGGGAACAATAATATAAATACTCCAAACTTTTAAGAAATGTGAGATAAATACCTCAAAATTGCATATGCAATATATATACCTCGAACTTTATATTAAAAGTTATTTTCGCACCATGACATTATGTTTTTTCTTTCTTAAATATAAATTTATTGTGATCATTACATAATTTAAAATACACCAACCTTGTGTAGGATGTAGTTAACATTTTAAAGTTTCATTTGTGAAATAAATAATAGTACATCCGGTTCAATATAATGTTAATTACATCCTCATAAATGCTTTGTGTATTTCAAATTATATACGTACTCAAGACCATAAGTTTACATTTTTGAAAAAAAAACATATGATAACGGTACTAACGTTTGGAGTATGTACTTACTTCACACTCAATCAAAGTTTCAGATATTTAAATTATTTTCCTGACTTACATGGCAAATTGGAGTTATTATGACTTACATGGCAAATTTGAGTGCTAACAGGTTATGTACATTTTTTGAATGAGCGGTATATATAAATTAATATATTCCTTCCAACATAATTAGAGCCCATTTAGTGTTTCTATTTTTCGGCTTATCAGGCTTATGAGCCTACTTTGTCACCCAACATGTAACCTTTGGTTTTGCGTCCTGAATTGTGTGATAATATGAAAAAGTAAGGTTGTAATTACTTTTGTGGCTGTATTGGTTAAAGTTACAGTAAAGGATCTCTGTTTTTTCATATAATTTTTTCTTTATTTTTATTAATAAAATATATTTAAATATAATTTTTTTCATAAATCATCAGCAAATCCAGTCAATTCAGCCAAAACTTTAGAAATTTCAACAAAATCAAAAACTTTATAAATTTCAACAAAATCAGTCAATACAGGCGATTTGGGTATTATCAAACGGACTCTTAATATCTATATAACTATATTGCTACT